ACAGTGTATAAGAATACTATCTCATGATCATGTGGTATTTATCCCAAGAATGTAAAATGGATTGACCACGTGAAAATCAATCAGTGTAATTCACCATACTAACAAGCTAAAAAAGAAAAACCTCATCATTACCTAGATGCAGGAAAAGCATTTGACAAAATCTGACATCCATTCATGAAAAAAAAAAACAGCACAGTAGGAATAGAAGAAAACTTTGCAGCTCGGTAAAGAACACCTACAGTAGTCTGACACTTTACGCAGAAAGACTTTCTTTCCTGCCAAGATCAGAAGCAAGGCAAGGACGTCTGCTCTCATCCCTTCCATTCAGTACTACTGGAGCTTCTAGCCAGTGTAGCGGAACAAGAAAGAAAAGGTATCAAGACTGAAAGGAAAGAAGTAAAACCGTCTTTATTTGAGGAAGACACGATCAACAATGGAAAATCTGATGGAACGTACAAAAAGCTATTGGGAGTAAAAGGTTTAGCAAGGTTGCAGGAGAGGAGATCAAAACACAAAAATCAACATGCTTCTATGCAACAGCTATGAAACACTCGAAAATTGAGATTTAAAAAAGTAGCATTTACAATAGCATCAGAAGATATAAAATACTTAGGGGTGAAACTGACAAAAGATATGTAAGCCCACCACACTGGACATGACAAAACATCGCCCAGGGGAACTAAGGACAATGTAAACATGCACACACACACTACGCTCGTGGGTCAGAAAGTCAGTGTTGTTTAATGTGTTACTTCTCCCCAAATTGATCTACAGATACATTGGCATTCCAAACAATCCCAGCAGGCATTTATAAACTGATGAACAAAGTAATTCTAATATTTATAGGGACGTGCAAAGGGCCTAAAAAATGGCCAAAATAACTTTGAAATAGAAAAAATGTTGGAGGGAACAGTTACATTACCTGATTTTAAGACTTCCTTACAACTACTAGTATCAAAACAAAAACCCATTGCTATCAATTCTGACTCATAGCAACCCTAGAGGACAGAGTAGACTGCCCCATCGGGTTTCCAAAGAGCAGCTGGTAGGTTCAAACTGCCCACCTTTTGGTTAGCA